CTTCGCCTTGTATTGTGAAGAACTTGCCTGAAGCTGGTTTGCTGCTTCCTATGTCCAACACCAATGTTTCCAGTATGCCTTGTGATGATTGTTCTGATGATACAAACCTCATGTGCTCCACTGAACTGTTGTCTTCTCTTGAGACTCCAGAGTTCTCTTAATCATTCCAGACATTAGTTGTGCTATGAGTATCAGAACATCCATGCTCCTGGCTATGTTTTATGTGCTTGGCTTTAATTTATAAGCAAAGGACTTATTTTAATATTCTGATTGTTTTTTCAAGTGATTTCTGGACTAGGGGTTCTTCCTAGATATTCCTTAAACTGCATTTCCTTTCTTCTTCTTTTTTTTTTTTTTTTTTTTTAATATTTGGTTACGTACCAATGCATTGTTACTAGGCAATTATTATAGCAGTGGCATTGAGAAGGTGTAGCAATTGTTACTTGATTCATGAGGAGTGTACATGAGGCCATCAACAACACAAAGTAGTCCTGAAATCTGAAATGCGATCTTTTCTTGGTAGAATACAGAAAACTATATTTCTAAGCATTTTGTCAATGTATGCTAAACTTCTATCACTAGCTGACTACCAGATGCCTGAAAGTATTGCTGTTCGGAGTAATTGGAAAACGGGAAAATACGACAGAGCAATTTTGTTTTGTTATACATTATACAGTGACTAGATATCAATCATGTTATCAAAGCAATTAAAAACTGGTACAGAAAAAAAAATATCAACTAAATGCACTTAGTGGACCATGTTAATTATCATTCAGAGACAACAGACAATGCGTTATTAACTTCACCGTGTTTTTCCTCTGTGTTCCTGCCCACCCTGCGAAGTAGTTTGCTGCACCTCTCAAGGGGCCTCTGATTTCTTCTTTGAAAACTTTTGTTGCTTTAGAGAGCACCTCACTGTACTCAATACAGCTTTCTCCATTTTGGTACTGACTTGTCGATGTTTACACTGCATGAAAGTGACTTAAGCATCAGGCTTCTTTCAGTGGTTGGTTTAAGGCTCTAAGCTGAGTCACTCCTGTGAATTTGAAAATGCAATTTAAGGACTTCTTGGAACAAATCTTTGCTGGGATTTGTATCATCTGAATTCTATTGTAACAGCCTGTGTCTCTCATCATGAAGATATGATTCTGAAGGCATGAAGTGGTGGCTAGTGGTATCATACTCTATTGTTTTAAAACCAGAGGATTTCAGTTAGATGTAATTCAGCAAGGGAGAAGGACTCAAACAGCAAAGATAAGAATGTGAGAAGAATAATGTTGTCTTTAAGGAGCTTTCAGGCCTTGCATTTCCAGCTGTTCAGTACCACAGTGAGGAAAGAGAACTGTATCAGTTTCTGAGCTATAAAAAGCACAGGCCTTTTTCTGCTCTGCTGGATTATTGGAATCAATAATTCCACATTTTCTGCATACTGTGAAAGTAAATGTCTGATCTCAGTCATGTCATCACATGGCAGATCAAAGCCCTCGGGATCAAAGAGATTAAAGAAGCGCAGGTTCTCAACATTGGAAAACATTAGATGAGTTTCTCAGAAATTTTAATTAACGAATATCTATTAAAAACAAAAAAGTTCCAGTGAGAATAAATCTCCCATTTCTTTTTGTTTCTTTCCAACCATTTCATCCTATCTGTAATACACCTTTTTTTATTATTATTATTTTTTTTAATGCTACCTGTTTCAAAAGCTTAAACTCAAAATAGTTGACAGTGTATTATTTGTGATGTCTCGTATTTCTGTCTGGAAGGTGTCTTGCCCCTAAAAGAACAGATGCTTTTTTTAAGCATTGAAGCTGAAGCAGTCACTGAAGATTGGCACATTGCTTTTCTTTTTTTTTTTTCCCTCAACAGAGCTCACATTGCCATGACGAGAAATGGGGGAGAGATGTTGGAGGTGGCAAGATGCCTCCATGTAGAGGAGGGGGACACCTATGAGTCTGGCCCTGGTCAAACCGACTGGGATTATTCCATCTCTTGCATTATTCCAACACTGAACGTTGCAGTCAGTAACAGGATAGTTTGTAGGAGGCTAAAATAGTGCTGTAAGGTGCAGTAATTTGCAAATGACCCAAAGGATTAATCACGTGCAGATTATGGATAACTGGATCTGCAGACCCAAGTCTCACATTATCATGGTTTTGCTGTCACTCTTGTCTCTAACTTCATTGTTTTTTAATCTGGAAAAAATCATTGCGTTTTACCATTCGTCAATATTAGTCATTTCACCAAAATGAAACATTGTAACTAAAGTCAATTTATGTTCTGCCTGAGGTTGAGAAACTAATGAAGGGTTTTTGCTGTCACTTCCAAAAGGAGATCATTTGCCAATTTTCCTCATTCTCCTAAATATGCATCACATTACATGGGCAGATGTAATAAACCAATACAGATACTGGTGGCCTGCCCAGGCAGTCTCTTTCCTACAGGACACTGTTCAGACACATCTTTCTATTTCCCAAAGTAAGGCTTTGCTAGTAAGTTGGACTCCAGTACCCTGCTTTAGATGAATCTGCACAAGGGGATCCCTTCAAAGAGGCCAATCACATCAATAGAAGAGAGTTCCTGGGGAGACCAGGGTTGTTATCTGATATCTGAGGGGGGAAAATAAAAATAAAAAAAGTTCAATCTGAAGCCACATTATGAAGTTTTTCCCTTTGAACTCTTCCCTTCCCAAAGGTGTTTTTTATGGTTTTTAACATGAAATGAATGATCTCCTGGATGACAAAGAGCAAACTAAACAGGCCAAACTTGAGTTAATAAGTTGCTGGTTATTTATTATAACAATGATATGTCTGTGCTTTCGAGTATGCAGTAATTAATAAACTCCCTTACCACAGGACACCACTGTTATCCATAATATTGTCAAAACCATTCGAGTTGTACTTTGTGTCTACAGAAGTAGAACTGAGCAGGGGTAAAACTTTTCCTTTGTCTTGCAAAAATAGAGCTATCAGTCTGAAAATAACATCAATACACTGTATAAGCTGGGCTGTATTTAATTTTCTCACTTTTATAATGCATTTGGGTCCTAATTTTTGAAGGATTGAAAAATGAAATTAGAGAAGCCTGTGTGTCTGTGTAATCTGTAACTATTTTTTAGTTACGTGCTTTTATTCTGGGAGATTTCAGTCATATCCTCAGAGTTTCTGCTGACTTCTGTTTGTTGCCTTGCTTTTGTAACCTGAGAACTGAAGGTTACAACTCAGGGGAACTTTTAAAGGAAATATCTTTCACCAGGAAGTATGGAATCAGCTATTCAGTACGTTTTGTGAATGTATATGAATTTAAAAGGTTCTTGTTTGATTGTGATTTTTTTTTTAGATCAAAGCATTTCACCTATGCATATTTCAAACAATTTAAAGATTGGCTGACTTCTAAAATTTTACTTTGTTTTGAACATTGCAACATTAAAAAAAAAAAAAAAAAAACAGACAAACAAAACCCCAAACATTTGAACTCCATGAGAAACTTTTTGAGAGTGAACTGAAAATGTAATCATTTACTATGCTCTATTTTGTTTATTTGTTTTTTACAATGCCATAATGTTTCCTAATCCACTCGTCTTGAAAATTCTGCTGGTAGAGTGCTGGATCTCCATGTATGTCCAAAATAAAGAGTGGTCATTTCTGTGTGTATTTTGGGGCTAATTCATAAGGAGGTTTACGATGAGACTGAACAATAATATTATGCCTGGTACAACTGTTTAAAAACTGCTACTAGTTTAAGTGACAGGGGCAGCACTCATTTCAGTAATGAAGTGTAACTGTTTGCACAGCTGGATGGTTCATTCTCTGGAATGAGGGCTGTGCCCATGGAGGGCTTGCAGGGTGTTGTGTCCACGGCTGCAGTTCTGCTGCTGCCAATATTGCTGCAGTATTGACAGTAACAACTGCTGAATGCTCAAATATATGCAGTAATGCAGAGAAACTGTAAGGAGTATTTTCTAATTTAGAATACTTTAAATCATGCGTCCTGCACAAAACAGGTGCATGTTACAGGTAGATGGCAAAAATAATCATCCTGCAGGTAGAGTGAAGGGTTGTTCTGAACATTCAGAGCAATTCCATAAGGTGTCTCCAAGAGAGCAAGCATGTCTGTGCCACTGCTGAAGAGAGAAAAGGGAGCTCTTTGAGGAGCTTACTGTGGTCGCTCTGCAGGTGAGAATTGTCTAACTGCTGGGGCACAGGAGGAAAATGAGAGCAACAAATGCCACCACGAGCCAACAAAGAGAAGGTTCTTTCATTTGATGTTGTTTGGGTGAAAAATTAATGGTTGAATCAACGTTCCATTTTGAGAAGTGTGGGTGTCAAAGTTTGGATGTGACTGCTAAATGGCAGAACGCACCTGAACAACAATTTGCCACACCAAGTGAGGAAACCTGTCTGCAAATGTGTTTTTTAATTTAAGTTTAGGAGTTAAATGAAAATGAAGTAACGTATTTGGAGCTAATGAGCCAAATGACACTAGAACTCTAATTGAGCATCCAGCATTAGCTGGTTAGGGACAAAGAGTAAAAGGTATGCCAAACTGACATTGAGGCACACGCACAAAGGGCTGCAACAAAGTATGTTAATTAAAAGATAATGTCAAAGGGATGGAATGTTTTGTTGGGATGACGGTCTCCTGCTGCTCCATAAGTGCTGAGGTGACATGCAGGCATCCATCAAAATGAAGGCCGGCCGAAGCTGGCAGGCAGATTTAGAAAGGCGAGATATTTGTCTGCAGCTTTCACACAGGCGCCGTGCGCCTCCCAAGCGCTGCCATGCTTTGTGTGCTGTTTGACGGATACTGCCGCTATGGATGGGCAGTTTCTCGCGACGGCGCCGCTGATGTAGCCGTACAATTGCATAAGAAATGCAGTCTGCACGTTCAGGCAGGAGGGAAGGCCCAACACGCCAGCCCGCTCTCCCGCCGCCCCGAAGCCGCCCTCCGCCCCGCCCTCCTGGGCCCGGCCCCTCTTTGTCTCCGCCCGCGGCGGGCGGGCCCCGGGGCTGGCTGTGCCGGGCCGCGGGGCGACCCTTCCCCTGCGCGGCCTCGTGGCGCGCCCCTGCCCGGCGCGGGGATGTGAGTACGGGCGGGGGCTGCGGGCGGGCCGAACCCGGCGCCCTGACAAGGCTGTGCCGGCGGCGGGCGACTCTGAGGGGTGGGCCGCGCGTGGGCCTGATGGAGGCCTGCTCGGCTTTGGGGCCTGGCGGCGGGAGGGGCGGAGCCGCGAGCCGGCACCTGGCGGCTCCTGCAGTCCGGGCCATTTCTCTCTCAGGTGAACGCTGTGCGGCAGGGAGCTGTTGGGGTGAGAGCACCGGGCCTGACTGTGCGTGTGTCCTGTCTGAAAGCTCGCTGTGTTTGCACATGAGCCTGGAAACGTCTCTGGTTGAAGTTATGTTGTAAGGCAGAGCGTGATGAACATGGAAGGCTGTCAGAGAGAAGCAAATGTTTCCATTAATTCATGTCGGCAGTGAACTATGTATGCATAATTCACAGGCAGTACATTCTTTAGTCCTTTCTTTCTTTCTTTTTCCTCACTGTTTTTTTTTTTTTTTTTTTTTTTTTTTTTGAGTGTTTTGACTGTGCTGCTGGGAAGTGAGTTGTGTATAAAGAACTGCAAAGCAGCTAACAGGTGCTCCTATCTGTAACTATGGGGAATGGCATCCTCAGGAGCTATTCCTGATGTTAAGCTGTGATTGCTAACAACTTATAGCTTGGGAATTCAGTGAAAAATCTTCAGGTGCATAAGCAATTGGCTAAAAATGGTAATTAGTTTGGCTTTTGCTTTTCAAGGCCTCACAGAACTGAGTTATATGAAGGTGTTCCACCAACTTGCTGGCCTATCGTGTATTCTCCAGACTACAACATCACCTTCATGGGACTGGAGAAACTACATCCATTTGATGCAGGGAAATGGGGAAAAGTAATCAACTTCTTGAAAGGTAAAAAACAAAAAAAAACCCAAACAAACAAACCACTTAGACCAACATTTGAATGAACCAGTGTTATTAATGCAGACTTGGGCTAATAACTGCCAGTGTAATAATGGCCGTATGTCATTATTGCTCCTTGTATAGATCTTAGCTATGCACCTTAATCATTGAAGTGCTTTAATATGTTTAAATAGTTGCAGACTTAAATCTAAAGAAGTTAAACTGATGGCAGAATTTGTGAGGTGGGTTGAATGCTGTATTGTACTTTTTTGAAGATGTTGCACATTAAACATGAAATTGTTAGAGCAAGCCTCCTACATCAGGGCTTTTTAATACAAAGGTTTATTTCACAGTCCTTTGGTAATGTCGGTTTTTGCTCGCTCCACTGAACAAAGCTCAGAATTGTCTCAGTCATGGTGTCTGTGCAGGGTGAAACTCGTGAAATGTGATTGAAAATTCAAGCTCATTAAACAACTTGCTCTTCTCAGTGGCATGAATAATGCTAGTCAGAGTAACCAGCTTGGTGAATTTCACTCTGGCCTAGAACTTTACAAGGCTGAGTAAAAAGGATTAAGGAGAAACATGAGCATAGCAGTGTGTTAGACAATCTTAAAATATTTCTAGGCTTTGGGGTTTGAAGACCAAGTGTGAACTGTGCAGAATTTTATTGTTTGACCTTTTCAAGAAGGGTGCGTGTAGGATGAGAACTATTTTCACCTCTGAAGTGGGTGGGCACCAGGGTCTTGACTTGAAGCACAGCCTGAGTCAGGTGCCGTATGTGCATAGCACAGTGCCGTGTTTTGGTGTTCAACAGAGTTGTGATGATTTTGCCTTTTCTTGCAGTGTATGTACAAATGTGTGAGAATATTTCCATTAAGTTTTTTCTTGAAGATGCTGTTTGCAATTCCAGTTTCTTCTTTCTTTTTGAGGACTATGCCTGGATCTGAAATGAAATGCAGACTTCAGGTTTCTGGCAACAAGTGGAAAACCCCTCCTGCATTAACTGCAAGCTTACAGTGCATTTTGGAAGTACCATGTACACTTTCCTGTAGCCAATGTGCTTCCATTGCTTTTACATGTGGTGTAATAAGGAAGGAGACAGTGTGTCTGGCTTGGGAAACCAGGCAGTTGATGACTGCCTTGCTGCCAGCTGTAATGTAGTTAGTTGCTCGTGAGAGTGCAGGCAGTCTGCTGGCAAATAGCACTCTTCAGTGTGAAATACCAGTGCAACCTATCTAAATCTTTGTCAACCTCATGATACTACTTTGATAATGTCTCTGGGGGAGCTTTGAAATCCCTCTGGTGGCAAGAAGAACTTTGTGTTGATGCTCATTATTGCTTCTTAAATAACTTTAAAAATGTAGACAAAGACCTCAAGGAAATGCAAGCATAAGGACTAAGATTAGGGTCAGAGCCTTTAAAGCCTTTTTCTGAAACTTGAGTTTTCTCATTAAGTTGGAAGGGGGAAAACAAACAAACAAACAAACCCTTGCCAAAACAAAGGCTGTCCAAGAGGCAGGCCTTTGCTGCTCATGTGGACCTAATGACTTCTTCAGCTGATGATCTTTCTCAGTAAAATGTTGCCCTTCCTACTTTAGGCTCCCCTGTATTCGTTTAACTGGGTTGCATGACTTAAAACACTATTTATTAGCAGTGTTTTGGATCTGACCTCTAATGATCTTTTCTATCAGAGTCTTGGATTTCATGACTATTTTCTTATTCAGAACCTTTGCCTTTCTTTTCTCCTTCCCTGTGTAGTCTTTGTTTTTTTCCCAGTTCTTTTCTGTGTGAAATGTCTACTCTTCACTCGCGTCTTTCACAGAAAACCAGTTTTCCCAAATATTTCACCCTCTTTTCACTGTAAAAGAGAAAAGCCCCAGGGTACCTTATGACATTCCTGTTTTTCTCTGGCTCTGTAGCAACTCCTGGGAACACCTGATCTGTGCTGTTTCCTATTATCTTCTAGAAAAATCACCAGTGAAAATCCTCATGCGCTTACTTTCTTCAAGAATGGAGCTGTTAGCATGTTGGCTTTATGTCTGACGTGAGTGAATGAAATGCTTCTCAAGTGCAGTCCAGGGAAATGTAAGCTTGCCAAAATAAATATTATTGCAGGTGCTGTGCTCGTATAACACTAAGAACAAACTCTTTTCCATTTGAGTTCTTCCCTTCCGCCAAGTTTAAAATTGAAGAAAAGGTCTGATCTTGGAAATCTGCAGCCCTGCAGCAATTAAGTATTAAAACTTGTCTGGGAAAATCAGCATTGGTGCCTGGTATTTGTTATTTGTAGTGATCCTATGCAAAGCAACATTGTTTTTCTTCACTACTTGACTTTTTTAGTCAACACAGACTGGAACTTTCTGGCAAGTATATCCAGATATAAACATTCACGCTGTTGGCATACAGAAATCTTGGAGTGATGCTTTGTGAGTTACTCCTCTAAAAGCAGTTTTAAAATGAACTGTCTCTTGCTCTCTGAAGGAAAGAATTATTAATAGCTGTTCATTGGTATTTCTTGAAATTAAATGAAGTCAGGATGTGACAGAAATATCAGAATTAACAGTAAGTGTTCATGTCCATAAACATCCAAGTAATTGAGTTGTTTTTAGTCTTGATTTTGTGTGTACCATTTTAATTTAGAGCTTTGATACTATTATCAACTAGATTTACAAAAAAAATCATATTAAAGGAATATTTGATATTATGAACACTGAGAGTTCCCAAGCATATCAAATCTTAGACTGTAAGGAGCCTTGTAAGTTTTCTTGCCTGTCCATCCTCAGTTGATACCTATTTTTTCTTTTAGTTGAAATGTGAGGTTACCATGAATACACTATGAAAACTATCTGAAAAAAAAATGATAACCTCTCTTTAAGAGCTTGTGTAGAGAGTATGTATTTGCAAAACTTGCAAACACTGAGTAAGCAACAGTGGTTGCAGTGATTTCCGTTACAGATGTAGGAATTAAGCTCAAAGCAGTTTCTTTGACCAGGTGGAATATGGGAATGCTATATGGCATACAATGACAGTTATAATTTTTCTCCTGTTGTTTCAGAAGAAAAACTAATTGGAGATGACTTGATTGTGCAAGCACGGGAGGCTACGGATGAAGATCTTTTGGTTGTTCACACAAGGCGCTACCTTAATAAGTTGAAGGTGTGTACTTAAACTAATGTGCTTTTCAAACAAAGTGTCTAGAATTAGTACCAAGTGCAGCACATAGCCCACTTGATTCAATACAGAATGAACTTTTACAGAGCAGTGACAAATTTTGAATTCAGCGTTGTCATTGTGAATACTGAGAGAGAATAATGAAAATATTAGAAAAGCCGAAGTGTAGGAGAGGGATGGGAGAGAGAATCTACCATCTTACATGGCCATGTTTCAGTGAAGTTTAATGAACATAAGGAAAATAATAATGTTTGAGATAAATAATATAATAAATAATAATAAATAATATTTTCCTTGCTGCCAAGGCTTTGGTCTTAAATGTGTTTTGTTTTAGTCTAATGAAGTATGGTTCTGAAATTGCAAATGTGTAGAAGAACCCTGAAATTGATTGTTATGCAATATTTTTTCTTTAATGTAAAGTTTGCTGTATGGATTTGAAGCTTATATAATCTTAGAAGAGCATCCATGCAGGAATTCTATCATCAGCCGGAGGGGTAGGGAAGAAAGAAATGGAGTTGTACCTAAAGACTGCCTGTATCAGTGGAGTACAGAGAGAGTTGAAAGGTCAACAAAGGGCATAATCTTGTATGCTGTGTGTGTAAGAACACTTGCAGTAGCAGCTCATACAGGATTGTATATTCACAAAGAACAAAGAGCATTCATTGGCTGTTTCTACATAAATGCAAGTTTAACAAATGAATGCTTCAACTCTAAACCATAAGAGATCTTCAGTTTTGAAAATACAGTCATCCACAAAAGGAATTGAGTAGTACCAGTTAAGATTGCTTTTATTTGGCAGCTCTCTACTTGAAGGGAAGAGATTTGTTGTAAAAATTGTCTGAGAACTGTTGAGACCTGGCCTAAACCACTGATTGAGTACCTGGGGAAAGGAGCCGGTCAGCCCTGGGAGCACGAGTGAAGGCAATTCAGCTGTGACAGGAAGGGGTGGAGCCTGGCTGCACCTCTCTTAGACCTCATAGAAGGGCTGACCCCCACTGGTGAAGGATCTCTTCTTGGAGATCCCTCCTTGGTGGAGCTTTGCCCTGTGAACCTGGAATCTTCTGATACAGGTGAGCAATCTTCTTCCCTTCCTTTATAGCACCTTTCTATCATGCTGGTCCTTCCATCATCACATGTCTGTTGTAATGCCTTTCCCATTGTGTTGATCTGTCCAATTGCTACAAAAATAATCTTACATTTTGTTATTCAGAATAAGTTACTTTGAGTCATCTTTGCCTGCCTACGGTGTAAAATCACTTGTATTGTTATTTCTGAAATGTTGATTTTTTTTTTTCTGTGTAAACAATCTTTGATTTGTCTGACTTTTTTTGCTTTATTCCTTTGCAGTGTTCACTTAGGCCTCTTCATTCATAGCTATGAAGTTACTTGTAATTTCATACATCATTAGATTTGATCTTATTGCTGCTATTCTTGATATTGAGCTTTTAATTTCAATGAACCACCCACCTCTTTTTACTGAGTCACCTCTTTGAAGCAGTGTAATGTGTGTAGCTCAGTTTGAAATACACAGTGTTTTTAGTACCTGTAGGATCTCTTCACTGAAAATTGGCTGATAACTTGTTTCCTGGGGTTCAAAACCAATGCTGTCTTGTACTTTCAGATGATCTTAATTCTATCTCGCTTGTTCCCCTTTATTTGAGACCATAGTTCATACAGCTGTAGCAATTAGAAGATAGCATATTGGTCTTGTCAACGAACTCCTACTAAGCAGCAAAGTGTTCACTTATCTAGCAACATTATTTTTTGTTTATGTGAAATGGCCCAGGGTTCCCTGTTTGCTGCCTTGCGTAAAGTCCACTGTGCTATTTTTTTTAATACAGACAAATACAGATTTACCAATAAAATGATATAATTTCGTGTTAGCACTTCTGAAGATTACAAAGATGCTTGCATTCTGGGAGCATCTGGGTCTCTTAAAATAATGAATCATTGGAGTACTCCTCGTTTAAAATTTCAACATGAAACACTTGCAAGGGGGGATGGTGTGTGATATCTCAGTTGCAGCTGAAGAAGCTGTCCTAGGAATGGGCTGGGAGTTGATTGTAGAGAAACAAAATGTTAAGTGCAAAGTAGATCAGAGAATACTGTCAGTCAGTTCTGCCTTAGGAGAAAGAGTGTCCCTGGTTGCCTGCTTAAGATAACATGAACAATCCTTAGAACAAAATGTGGTATTTTGAATTGAGGTTACTTCTCCCTCAATACTATTTCATGAACCTAGATCCATAAGGTAGTGATGAGACTTTGGATAATCAGCTTGTTGTACTTCCCTGCTCATCCTCTTGTTCCAGTGCTAGGTAAAATAATGGATTTAACGTATATCAGTGTTCTGATTTGTGGAAGGGATTAGGCAATGAGGTTAAACCTGTCTTCAGACCTTGTAGGTCTTGTACTTGAAACTTTTTGATCTATCAGGAGTTTTAGGATGTAACTGAATACTGAAATGCCAAATGACATGGACAGTGTTTGTTGTCAGCCAAATGCAAGACGTGTTTTTCTGGAACAGATCTGAAACAGATGATCAGTCAAGCAAACTCACATGTTTTAATCTGCTTTTATGTATTTGCAAATGATGTAGGTATTTTTAAGAAAAAATCATTTTCTTAGAATTGTGAATATTTACACGTAGTGAAAAGTGGATATGTTTTGTAAAACAAATCAAGAACAAATAAAATTGTTTGGAAGTCTGGTTTTGTACAAGATCAATATGTAACATCAAGGACAAGTGTGTCACTTTTTGAAGAAGTACATCAGTCCTTCAGAAAAAATTTTGCATGAGCCTGCTGGGCTCTGACCTTCTAATCACAGTGAGTGTTTTCTAGTGCTCAAGTGCTTGTGTGCTTTGATTCTCACCCTGTCATCTGAGTGAATCTGCTTTGGGACAAGAGGTGCATGTCTGTTTGTCACCTGGTGGTGCTGGCAGTGTGCTTGGGAATGCAAGCTGTAGAGGCAGCCTTGTAAAACAGTTCAGCCTGTGTTGTTTTGAACATAATGGTAGCTGGTAGCTGAATACGTTTGGATAAAACACTGTACAGGAGGGCTTGGTTAGAGGGAGCAGTATTTGACAGTTTTCAGTATGTCCACTGATCTGCAGACTCAGTAGAGAGTTCTTTGCAGCTAAAACAACAATTAGGCCTCTTAAAAGGAGAAAGTAACATTTGATGTACAGTGAGTTTGTTTCTTTTCAACATCTGACTCTTCAGTTGAGAGAGTGATACACAAAAATGGTGAGGTTTGGCAGCTTGCCTTTCTTTGGAGTAGCCCCTGGACACTGTAAGGTTTTCCCAGTGCAGTTATCACCAGTGCAGTATCTGATTACTAATAATAATGGTGTGTTCATACATCGACCTGGAAACTTTTGTATAAATGGCAAGCTTAGTCTTTTTGGTTTTGTTAATCCAAGTTTAAAGCATACTTCCTTTATCCTTACTTCCTACTTACTACTATCATACTTCCTTTAAAGGTGACACAAACAATATTGTTCCCAGCAAGCTTCTGAATTAAAGTCTTGTTAGGTGCTTGGTGTTGGATCTGTGAATTCTCCCATGAAACTGAGAGCTGCTCCACAAACTTAGAAAAGATTCAAACATAGTTTTAAGTTTTGTTTTAAAAGTTTTACAAAACAATGCTTTTAATGACGTGTTATTGGTTGTTTTGAATTACTGGGATGCAGTGAATGTGTAACATGAAAGGCAATGCATTTCGGTTGTGTGTGGGTTTTTTGTCCAGAATGATCAACATAAAACAACTATGTTAGCTTTATCTTCCTAGTAATTTGCATGCTCATTTTTAGTGCTTGAATAGTTAATGCCACATATTCCAACTTGGAAGTTTCTTTATCATTCTTAAGAATGGAGGATTTTAGAGTTTGGGAATACACATTGATGCTAATTAAACATTTAGAGGGATATTCTTGTAGAACCTTATTGTAAAATATGGAGTCTGAGTTTAAACAGGGACAGTTAAAAACTCTTAAATTTGTTTAGGTTTGGGGTGTATCACATTTCACGTAGGCTATTACATAAAGTTTGGCTGAGTGATGCTGACTTAGTGCTTATTTTGGGAGGAGGAGGAGTTGAAGGAAAATATAGCAGTGAAGGGTTAACCTGACTTGTTTTAAGAAAAATGAATGATTTTTGAGTCCTAAATTTGTACATAGAACTGCTTATCTGAAGCACAGGAAAGAAAATAATCACTAATAATTAAAAAATAAAGAAAATAAGTTAAACTGAGTTGATAGTTGAGGAGAGTAAGTGAAGTAACATTGAATAGTGTTTGTGTGGTTTTTACTTCTTCCTGAACGCAGACCCAGTTTTAATTGGTTGTATAATTACATATTTACTAGAACATTAGTAGGGAATCAGTAAACTGATGGTAAGTGAGAGCAAATATCTACCAAAAGAAACAGCATCTCCTATTCTTCTATAATATGTATGATTTGAAAGCAGAAAGGACTGACTTTTAAAATTAATGTTTGAAGAGTTGGTTCTGTATCAAAGGAAGCTAATAATCACTAGTGTGAAAATTTACATTATTGCAGGTAACTGACAGCATGGAAAGCAAAATTGATGTCCTTATCTGTTCAAAATCATTTCTAATTTTTATGACATAAGATGCACAATTATTGAAAACCAATTTCTTTCAAGTCCCTTTCCAAGTGTGTATATATAACTGTTCTGAGAATTTATTCTGGGTAATGTTGGACAGCAAAATTTGCAAGATGAAGAAACAAGCAAGAATGCCCACGGTTTGAGGCAATATATTTCTTCAATTCTGCAGTGTGGTTTGTTTTGAGAACCATCAATGTCAGCAGCTGTATTCTTGAGTCCCAACATTTTCCTTATGGCCAAAGACTAAATCCCAGACAGTGAATGTCTTCGGACTGGGAGCTGTTCTTGTAAATATCCTTAACTTTGAATAAGAAGCTTTACTTCTTGCTCACTTGCACTATGTATGGATTGCTTGCAATCACTTGAAAACCTGCAGGAAAATACTTGTCGATTTGAGTCCTTATTATTCCTGCTTCTTCCCACTGGGATTATTATTATTTGTTTGTTTTAAGATTGAGTGTTTAAGTGTTTAAATTTTATGGCAAGCTTGTCATTTGATATGAGAAAAACATACTTTATGCAATTGTAATCCCTTGCAATTCCATTGCAGAATGCTGAGATTTAATCTAGTTTGCTACATTGTGCTTATTTTAAAGCTAAAATATCTTGCAGAAGGATTTTTTCAAGTTATTGGAAAATAAAGTGCCTTCTTAGTGACTGAGAGCAGATGCTATCATTAGTGAATAACAGTAAATGTATTTGTATGTTGACTTATAGTAATACAATAATGAATTGTTGAAAGCAGTGCCTGTGCACGTGATGCTAATGCCAGTGCCTTCCCGAAACCAAAACACAAATAGTACTCACCAGTTAGAGTGATATCTATGAAGTCACAGTAACTTACTGAGTACCAGAATACCCTGATGTTGGCATTTGTTTTTCATCAAAGTTGGCCAGTTGTGTATCCTGTCTTTGCTGACCAGCAGCTAGCCTGCAGAATGTGGTCTGCTTATATTTGTTAATGTTGAAGAAAACAGGATCCATATGAAATATTTGTACAGGCTTTGAAACTTCCAATTCTCAGGACTTGAATGTCTTAGTATTGATTGAAAAGGTACAAACTTGCTTGTGACTTTGGCTGTGAAGTATATTTAGAAGTTTCATCCCTGGTAGCAATGTCATTAGTTCTCTGAAGTAATCTTTTGTTTGTTGGCATTTTTCCATTGAAAGCATTTACATACTGCAAATATTTGTTCTAACCTTCAAGTCACGTTCTTGATGATACGACTTTTTAACAAAATGTTTCCTCAAAACATGTTTTAGAAGTGTTTAATATGCTTAACAAACTTAAATTGATTCTCCATGCAAAAATTTGCACTGTGTGCATGTAAGTATTCAAACATCTTAGCCAAGTGGTTTGGTTTTGGTTTTTTTCCTTTCTCCTTGGTATATTCTATTGAATTGATGTGAGAAGTACTTTAGAGTTGCACAGTTTATTAACTGTAGGTTGCTATTAATTCTGCTATAAGACATTTGACAATTCTTTTCCCCAACACCAGGAACAGATTTATTTTTTTTTTCTTAAATACTGCCTGACTGAAAAATTCTTGACTTTGTACCATTGGATATTAAAGTATGGAGAAAAATAGTGGTGGTGATTAATTGAAATTTTCAATTGTTAACAGTGTAACAGGGAGAAACTATTTGGAGGTTGCCAATAGACCTTGTTGTGGTCACCTTCATTTGAGGGGGGGAAAAAAAAAAAAAGCAAACCAAAAATCTTGCTGAGGCCTTATGGGTTCCTTCTCAGTGAGTAGTAATTGATGAGACATCTAAAGGACATCATTAAGACAGGCTACATTAATTGCAACTTTTTTTCCCCCTCCTAGTGGTCCTTCGTTGTGGCTACGATCACAGAAATTCCACCAGTCCTTTTTCTTCCCAACTTCCTTGTTCAGAGAAAAGTTTTGAAACCTCTGCGAACCCAGACAGGAGGAACAATAATGGTAAGTACTTCTTGATTTGCTGTGATGTATTTATACAGACCTGTGAGTTGTAATGCTTTTGGTAACTTAAAGCCTCAAACCCCAAAGCCCTGTTGAGGAAAGCAAGTTAGTGTACAGTCCTAAACATGAGCAAAGTCTGGCACTTAGCAAATAAAGAGATGAAGGATGAACCTGATTTTTGTTGTCTGTAATTTGCAGAAGCAAAAGGAGTAGTAAGGGGCAGCCTGTGCAGGGAACGAGAGGTGACAGGAATTATGGCAAGTGCAAAAACTGCACAATTGGTAACTGTTCAAATACAAGCAATTTCTAGGAATGGATAGTTGTGAAATTAATAGAATAGAAGATACTTTAAAGCACATATTTACTAAATGGCTGTAGTTTGGTTACTTTTGGTATGAAGCGCTCATATCTTAAAGATGAGTGTGATGATGTGGTTTTTTTTTTTTTTAACACTTTGTGTCTAATTTGACTAATGAAAGTTAGTTCATTTGTTCAATTGTGTACGCTGCATAAGCAGCTCAGCTGAAGTGAGATACAGCCTGTTTCACCTTGACAGGATTGTTTTCTGATCGGTTAAATGAGTGCTGTGAGGAGGAGAGATGTGCAAGTCACCACACAATCTAATTTTGCCTGAGAAACTTCCATGAGAGATGTTGAAGATGTGGAAAGAAAGCAGTTAATAGCTGTAGCCAGGGACTTACTGAGGAAGATATGCCTTCGTGTTTGTGAACCACTAACTAATGGGACCCTTTCTTCCCTTTATTCATTCCTTGTCTGTGATAAGGTGGTAACAGTACCAATCTTTTTGTGGGTAACTGTCACAATTACATAAATGGAAAAAGAAGTCCTATATGAAATCCTCAGTGTTATGATACAAATGGATCTTTGCTACATTTTAGCTACTACTGAAGGAAGCTGTTAAGAGTGGATGCATGTGAAAAGGGTAGAAGCAGATATTGCTCCTTTTATATTCATTAGAAGCCAATTATTGAAGAACATTGTTCTGCGGGTTGGCAAACCTCTCAGTATGTTTATACCAGATATAAATGTATGATTTATTGCAACCACTAGATATTTAAAGCAAGCAAGACTGGGAAGCCATAATAGTATGACAAAGAAATGACATTATTTTCAAAAGTAGCCTACTAGGTAACTTCCCATTTCTGTTAAGAGTAATATAGGTACTTAGCAATTTAACACTGGAATTGAGATTTCCTATTTTGAAGTGTGTGCCTTCATGAATGTATGAAGAATTTGTTAAGGACATTAAAAAAAAAAAATGAAGAGCTCTTCTCTGAGTACTGCATAAAAGGTGGTGCTGTGCCTTTTATCCATCAAAATGTGGAATGTCAGGATCTGACCTGAGAAAGTAATGTGAGACAACCCAAAGCCTTGATGAAAGTTTTCCAAATATATGACAGGGCTTATGTGAGACAGACTTGGGGCAGTGTTACGTTTGAGTCCTCTTTGTTTTTTTCTATGTGAAATGATAGTAGAAAGCTAGTTAGGATCAGATAAGAGCAGAATGAAATACTTAGCTTTTCTGTTATATTTGTATCTTTAATGGTACAACAGCTCAGTGCCTTGATCAGGAAAAATGGCGTTTTCTTTCAGTATTTTAGTACTTTAAATGTGCATCCTGTCAAACTGCTGGATCTGTAAAAAATAACTGGAAGCTATAATGCTATATACTTAAATTTCAAAGCTTAATGGTCATGATGCAAATTACACAAGAATTTGCATCACAGTTGCCAAAAATATATGCCTATGTATATTTATTAAGTAACATTTTGTAACAGCATAATTTATATGGGAATTACTTAGGAAAACAAAATTATTTTAACTTAAAGGATGAAATCACAAAGTTAAATGCTGTCTATTTGCACTTCTATGGTATCTTGATGCTACTTTTGGAAATTCTTTAATCTCAGAAGAAATCAGCGGAGCCATGAGAGTCTCCTCAAGAAGTGTTGTATCAGCAGTAACCAGAATTGTGTGTAGTAAAATATCTTCTCCTGGCTGTTTGCATATATATGGGAATGCTGTCAATAGGGATAAGCCTTCTGTAGGCAGTACCAAGTGGGGTTTTGTATAATTAAGAACATATTCTTGAGCAATCTGTGTCTGTGATTCCTAGATGTACTTCATGCCAAGGTGTGTAACAAAATATTGGGACTCAAGTTGCTTTTCTCTATCCCCATTTGTTCACTTCATCTTTGGAAGCACGATGGATTTATCTTATTGTTTCCAATACAAATTTTGGTTTGTCATTCTGGAGATGTCAGAGGATGTATAAGTTACTGTGAAAGAAAGTGAAAAGTACCTCTTGTTGCTGAGTTTTATTTCAGGCTTATTATTTAATTCAGCGGAGGATTGGCTGCTTTTTAAAAATCATGTGTATGATTGTATGTGTATATATGACATGATGTACTATATATCTTATCACATATAGAATATATTAATATAAATATGTGTATATATGACATGATGTACTATATATCTTATCACATATAGAATACATTAATATAAATATGTGTATATATGACATGATGCACTATATATCTTATCACATATAGAATACATTAATATAAAATATGGCATATACTTATGTGTGATCATATATGTGATTTTTTTTTTAATAAAATAAAAATGCATCTTTTATTAATATGGCTTTAAGGAATCTTGCAGTTAAACACTTCCTTGAGTCCTACTGGTCAGAATAACCTTTTTTTTCCAATTAAATTTTATCGCTTTAGCCCCATGTATCTTTTCTACTGTCAGTACATTTCATTTCCTCAATGTCATTTGATTTCATAGGGGAGTAACAGGCACAGATTTCATTTGGTGTCAGAAAGCAAAAATTGGTCATATTTATAGTGTGCATGTTACGTTATTTAAAGAAACAAAACAGGACACTTAATGCTTGGCATTTTTCTGTTCCCACCCGCAGCTGAAGCTGTGTTAATCAGTATTTTCAGAATTTTGAGCTGAAGTTCTTCCTATTTCTTACATGAGAAGGAAGGGTATTGGAAGATTTCTGCTCACTTTTTATTCCTACCAATGCTTGTACCTTCAGTTTACCATTTGTCTGCTAGGGGTCAGTGTTCATCTCCACAAAGCCCAATTCAAGATATGCTCAACTACAGGAGAGTAAAATACAGATGTGAAATCAAATAGTTTTTTCTACTGATTTTACTGCGTATAGTTTTGTATGGCTTGTGTTGAGAGATCTGATTCAGAATGACTTCTGTTGGTAAAGCATCTGCAAATGCAGTGGGTGCATTAGAATGCCAAGAGCTGCGTTTGGGGTGGGAGCACTCAGCACTCAGTGGCTGCCTCATTCACTCATCAAGTTCTTATTGTCATTTCCTTCAGGCAGGAAAACTTGCTGTTGATAGAGGCTGGGCAATCAATGTGGGTGAGTACAAATGGAAATTTGTATTAAATGATACTTCATGTGTTTTTAAAGTCATTATTTTCATTCAGTACAATGTATATGCTGTTTATAATAAAGTGACTGGATTGTGTTCAACTAAAAGAAACTTGAAACGGGAAAAAAAGAGAACTAAGTACTTGTTCTCTTATCCTGTCATCCTTGCTGCAGTTTTATAACTAGATAAAATATTTGTTGATAGGAAGGAGATAACCAGGTAAAGATATGATATTTATACACTGTGTGTGGACTGTAGTAGTGAGAATGAAGTGAGGAAAAAGGTGTTCAGAGTATGTGCAAATATTTCAGTAAAATATTCCTTTAAATTACGCAGAAGTTAAATAGATCTTGCTAGCCGTGCTGTACATATAACACCAGACCAGGAGCTTGGTTGACGTGCTGCACAGCTGGACTATACCAGTTGGTCTGCTTTTGGCTATGCGGTTCTTCCTGAAAAAGGCTTGACTGAAGAAATGATGAAGAACATAAATCTGCACCCTTCCTCATGTCAAAATAGTGATGCAAAACCAGTGAGCTACTGAACTAATGGCTTGTCATTTTTGGTGCCCGTCAATTCTGAAATTTTCCATTATATCTTACAAATACTTCTGGATATTTCTGAAGGCAATAAATCTTGCATAGTGTTATTTGTGCAACATTCCAGTTAGCTTGTTTTGTTTTAAATAAGCTCCAAGTGGCAGGAAGACTTGCTGTATAACACGTGTAATGTAAAGCTATCATTTTTCTCCTTCAGTAGCAAATGATATTTTAAAGTATTATCTATAAAGTAAAAATCCAGTAGTAAAAATTAAGCACATCTTAAAAAAATCCTGTGATTTATTGATGTATAAATGAGGGTTGTTAAATTTCTTGCCTAGATGTTTGTTGTGGGTTTCTTAAACTCTTCTGGATTAGTATAGTTTTTAATTCTATGGAAGGGCCGAGTAATTTTTTTGTTATAAAGAAAGTGCATGTTTGCTTAAAGATAAAGATCATAAAAGTTCCCTGGTGTCTTGTTTTTACCCCATCCAAATTTTTATGCTTAGGAGGTGGTTTCCATCATTGTTCAAGTGACAAAGGTGGAGGATTTTGTGCATATGCTGATATCACACTGGCTATTAAGGTAAGAAATACCATTTTGAGAGTATTTTCTACTACTTGTGCAAATGGAAAAATGTTCCAGAAATTCATAAGTACTAACATACCTCATATCAGAAAAAATAAAATGTTGTAGAGATGGGTAGGAATAGGAAAATGATGCGATATTTAATGTTACAGAGCGCAGTGCATTGGCACCTGTTAAGTGGAAGGAAAGAGATACAGGGTCGGAATTATGAATGGAAATGCAAACTGCTCTAATTGCATTAATATATTCTTGCAGGAAAAAAAAAAAGCAAGCTAAAGCAGATTGTCTTGTAGTATCTGCACTGATAATTGTCCCAGTCTTGCAGTTGAACCTGCAAATTCCATGTGAGTTTTGGTGCTCGTAATGGAGACTTAAATAGAGACAGAAGTCTTTTCTTCAAATCAGGCTGCTCTATGCGGTCCTCAGAGTAGCTCAAATTCACGAATAAAAATATGAATGTGTCCAAGATAATCACTGGATTTGGATGAATACATGTGCTCTTTAGCTGTTGAAAGGCTGAAGCAGGGGCTTTCTGCAATTAGAGCTTATTTCTATCATGTGCCCTGTGGTGCATGTATAGTATCGTAGTATATTTTAGTATGTATACTAGAATATTTATAAAATATCAGTAATAATCAAAACGTAAAGACCTAATGATTGCGGCACACTAAATGACAGAACACCCTAATTTCTGTACACTGTAATTTGCAGAAAGCAATCCACAGTGTTGTGTTTTCTCTATCATTAAGATACAGATTGAGAAATTATAGCAGATAGCAGTTGACACAAAACCTTTACATTTTTTATGACATATATTTTAAAATAGTAATTTTGCAAAGTTGTAAGACCCAAAGAATTAGAAAAGCTTATTTTTTATTTGCAGACATGCAGTAACAGATGAATTCTCTTACTAGCCTAAAAAGTGACTATAATGCATACAGCCCCTGCTGTGGTGAGTTTTATAGAGCTGGATTCCATCAGTGGAGTATTTCTCCCTTCCTGCTGTTAAGCCTCACTTGTGCTATCATTTGTGTCTCAGGAAACAAGCTGCTCACCATTTCAGGGTCTATGCAGCTCTTGCTTCGCTTTGCCCCAACATACGGTCATTGCTGCTGCTGTCTCTGACAGCACCAGTGCCACAGTCAGCTTTATAATCCCTAGCTGGACCTGTCCTGTGCCTGGCTGGAGTGGGATGTGGAGACTTGCCACCTGTGCTTATGCAGATCCAGTACTACTACAGCAACCCTTCTTATCCTGGGCTCTCTTGTGTTATTCAGTGCCATTGAGCTTAAGCCTTATTTGCAAAGTCTGTTTTGCAAATTAGTGTGTGATGCTGTAGGGTATGTCCTTCATCTTACTTTGAGCCTGGTACGTTCTGGGGGGAAGAGGATATGAGTAAAAATAATTGTCTTCCCTCTCCACCAAATTCTTCTACAGGTAGGTAGATACCTGCACAGATGACTGTGAAATGCATGGTTTTTGCATTCCATATGATGGATACGTATAGGTTTTTACTATATAATCACAAATTTTGAAATAATTCAGCCCTTCATTTGGTGAATGAAATGATATGCATGATGTTAAAACTGAAACAATAATACACTGTGCAAGCTTCAAGCCTTCAGTTAATCTATCACCTAACTTCTTAGCTGACTGTTTGTTTGTTTACCCCTCCAGTTCCTATTTGAAAGAGTACCAGGGGTGTCTAAAGCCACAATTATTGATCTGGATGCTCACCAGGTGAGTAATTTTGCTGTATTCAGTACTGTTTTGTTAGAAGTACAAGTGTGTGATACAGACCACCTTTCTGTAATACTAACATGAAATATTAACTCATGGGATCCAAAGTTAATCATAGGTGGTAAAAGCTGATAATATTTTAGTTGTTTTTATTATTTTATGTTCCAATGGGCTGTTAAGCCCGTTCAATAAAATAAAACTGAGTTGCAGCTCCATCATGTGGTTAGATATAAAAATATTTTTGAATTGAATAGTCTGAAAAGTAGTTCAGGTTCTCGGAAGAAAGTAAAATCTCTTACAAGGAAATGGCAGCTGGTTCAGCTGCGTGGTCATTGCAGCAGCCTTCTCAGGAGGTGAATTTGACCTTCAGTATTACAGTAGAAAGATTGACTTCAAGCTAATGAAGTAAATCATGCATCTCTCTTCCCTGGTAGAGTGATTTCTATGGATGCTGAGAATAAATCTAATCTTTAGGAGGATTTCCAAAATAAATCCTAAAAGGAAGGAAATAGTATTTTTAGAAAAGCACTAATGTGCTGAAATTGCATCCCATCTAAAGCATTGAAGATTTTTGTGGATAAACCATTGCAGTAGTGTTCCATCTTCTATCAGTTCTCTTTTCTGCAAGTTAAGGCATCCTAAAATTGCCAAAAAACAAAGGCATATCTTATGCAGCAAAAAGATGCTTTGTGTTTCCCGTTCTGTCTGGGTATTTCCATCAAGGTGTGGATGCCTTTGGTTTTGTTTTTTTCTTTGTTTGTTTAGTGTTAAATTTTTGTTCATTTTTTTCTTTTAAAAGACTTCTTGGAATGCATTTTTGTATTCAGCTGTCATGCCTGTGACCTCAGCCAGCATGCTAAATTGCCCCTTTCTGTAATTGTTTCTTTCCTTGGGAAGTAGGAGGTGTGTGGAGTACTAGCTCAGCAGATGCTTTTTAAGTGTGCAGACATTCTCATCCTGTGAGTGTCCCAGTTCTTAGTGTGTTTGAGTTTTACTGTTTATAAGAAAATGGTTTACCCAGAGGCTCTTGTATTCCTAGATTTATATCAGTAATGTTTCTTTGGACCAAATGTGCTGAAGAAGTAAGTAGGCATTGCCATGTTTTAGCCTAAAGAAATATGAAGTATTGTAGTATCCTATTCCTGTTATTGCTTGTATTGACTAGCTTTAGCCTATTGTTTCTGTGTTTGTTTTTCTTGTTTTGTTTCCAGTGGGGGAAGTCATAACAGAAATATAGTTTAAGTACTTGCTGGAATTCTGTTTCTAGTTTTAATTAAATCATTCTAATGAATATATTGAGAGTGAGGGAATGGGTTCCTTATGATACACTGATTTAGATGAAATTATCTTGGTGATTACTGTGAAAGGGTAACTGTACTAGTTGCAACAAGTCTACATGAGAGATAAAAGAATACTATTCAGAGATGGGAGAAGGAGAAAGTATTCAGAATCTGTTTTCTTTTGAGCATCTACCTTTTCACCTGACACATCTTTGTAGGGAATTTGTGGTGTTAAACATTAAAAAGTTAAACTATTACATTGCATATTTAGTGTTTGTAATGTTTCCAGTGGCTGCTTATCTCACCAAGGCTTGAGTTATCAGGAAAACTGCAGTCTGATATTTTATTCTTATACAAGGATGTAAGTATCCTTGCAGCAGACTTCTATTCTAAGTATTGGAAGTTATCTTTCCAGTTGTATAAAAATGTAACCGTTCTGCAGTCTTGGCCACGTTGCATTTGTGATGCTGCTAAAAGCAATTATCTTCTAATCTTCACTTCTTATTTCACATACAAGAGAAAAAATATCTTGTAATTACCTTCATGGAGATAGTAGGATGTTGATTTTTTTTTTTATTTTTTTTTTAATACCTGCAGTCTTCAGACTCATACTGTCAAAGCCCACAGGATTCTATGCCTGAAAATAGCCTTCAAGGCTGTAAGTAAGGGATGTCGTGGGAGTTTTAAATAGTCTTGATTATGTTAGAATCTGCAGATTATGGTTCTGTGTGAGTGTGCTAGAAAGAACTAACTCTAAACTTCCTTCAGGGAAACGGCCATGAGAGGGACTTCATGAATGATCACAGAGTATATATCATGGATGTGTACAATAGATTTATTTATCCAGGAGATGGATTTGCTAAACGTAAGTATAATTGAAGTTCGTATTCCAAATGTGAAAGAATGGCCTTTTTTTAATAACTTTTTCATTTACTGATAAGTTTTCTTGCAACAGTTATCTTTTCTTCACATAGAACATACTACTTTGAATGATTTTGCTACATGTCAGAATAGTGTTGATTCTGTAGTGTTTCACTTTGCTTTGAGAATGAAGTGCCTTCCTTCATTTCTACACTGAATGCAACCTGTGGGTATTGGTTAGACTGGGCAGGGGGAGAAGCATAAGCATACCTTTATTTCACTGATGTTGAACAAGGAAAGCATTAAAAAAACAGTACTCAGCACTCACTAGGCAATAAGCATCATCGTGTATTAGATTTATTCATGCACACTGTGTGCTGAATCCGTGCTTAGAATTTAAGGCTCCAAGTCCCTTAAGTTAAGGCATAGGTTATGCTGAGGTGGAAGTCATATATTGAAACAGCTCTGACATAATTTGATTGGATCAGATTTAGAGTTAAGCATAACTGCCTAAAAGCAGGCAAAACTAGGCTTTATGACCTTTGATTTCTTTCTACTACCTTTCCGACACTCCTTTTCTATTTTAATGCTTTATTATAAGTGTTTGAAATAATTTGATTTAAATTAAGAATAGATGTTTGCTCCTTCTGGTAGGATTACAGGGTAAGAACATTAAATTGAAAATGCTTGGGGCAAAGCTAAATCTTGTTATACGTAAAGCAATTCACATAAATTCATCATCTCTTACTGTTAAATTTTTAGTGTCGCAATAAAAGTAAAACATCTTAATTTCTTAGTGATGTTTATATTGTGGATTTCTTTTTCTCTGCAGTAGCAATTTGGTGTTCTCTTTTCATTATGCTTTACTTAGCTTACATCTTACTTTTATTCTTCTTCTTTGCTGATTGGTGAATAGTCCTGTAGATAAGTTGTTTTTCATCAACGTTTTGCATTTGTGATTTAGGGAGATTTTTTTTTTCCCCTGCATTGAATTCTGTCTTCAGTGGAATTTTTCCAAGGTCACTGTGCTTACAGTTGATACAAACACAAGTATTTGAAAAGTGTTCTTTAACTGAGGAATTTGTGAAAACACACTGCGTTTACTTGTTCAATAACACAAACATTTCAGGTGCCATAAAACGGAAGGTGGAGTTAGAGTGGGGTACAGAGGACACAGAATACCTTCAGAAAGTACATACTCATGTGGAAGGAGCATTAAATGAATTAAAACCTGACATTATAGTTTACAACGCTGGAACTGATATTCTGGATGGCGATCCGTTGGGAGGACTTGCTATTTCACCTCAGGTTTGTATAACACTAAAATACGTTGAGATTCTCATTATTTGCCGAATACTGGAGTTGGTGCTAAAAGTGAATTGCTTGTGGCAGTTTGTGAGGCGGAGGTAAGGAATGTACTTCACAGTAAACCAAAACATTTTTCCATTACAACTATGCATCCATTGCTCACTGTATGTTTGTTTGTTCTTCGTTTCCTGACTGTTTCTTCATGTGCCTGTTTAAATATCATTCACTTTCTCTCTAAAATATACCCATACTGAACATGCAGATAGCATTCAGACAGATGTATGTTTTTTCCCTGTATGATCATTCTCTTCTGTCTAGTTCCGTCTGTTTCCTTTGCCCCTCCTACAATCCACTTGATGTTTTTGTCACTTGTGCTTGGTATGTATCTTAACACTTAATTTCCTCTGTAGCACTTCTGTCTATTTTAAAAGTCTCCTCTGTTGTCTCCCATATCTAGCAGTCTTGTGCAGCCTATTTGTTATTCTTAACAAATGAAGAGTTTTATTCACTTTCTCCATTCTTTCTTATAGCACTATCACTTCCTTGTTCAGTTTAGCTTTTCTCCCTAGCTTAGTTTCAGATTTAAATTTTCATTTGTCCTGTATAGCTGCATAGAGGTCTTCACCTTCTCGATATCATAACAGATAAGCTTTTCTCAAAATATGAAATTCTATAGCTCTCACATTTCCTCTTCTTTTTTGATAATTCTTTCCCTGGCAGTTCCTTGTCCTGTTTTCAGGTTTGATTCTCTTTCTTTGTCTACCAGTTCAATACAGGAAAAAAATGCTTTCTTGATTTATGAACTCTCGGAATCCTTCCTAAAGGAGCCATCACTCAGTTTGTTCTGTATTTCAGCACTTTAGTTCTCAGTCTTCCACAAAGCTCTAGTTTCTTGTTAGTTTCTGTTGCCTTTCTGATGCAGTTCCTCATCCTCATTGTCTCCATCACCAAACTGTGTGTTCTTGCTTTCTGATTGCCTCCAGATACCTTAATGAGTCTGGGGTAAAAAGATTTGGGAACTGGTTGGAATTTCCAGGTTTTCCTTTGATGATTGTGTAAAAGTTCCTTTGAGAAATGGAAGAGGTTTGGAGACTGCCATCAAGTGATAAATGAAAGACACTGATGTGCCTTTTCAATTTTTTTTCTGCCATATCTTAATTGTTAAGAACAGTGAGTTGTTGTAGCCAGTTGGGTGCTGTTTATATAAAATGTCACTAAAATCATTACACCTTTCCTTCCCTCCATCTTTACAAGAAGAGGTGGAAGGCAGTGTGTGCCATTTCTTTGTGTGACTGCTGTTTCAGACATCTGATGGAGAAAAGTTTCTGAACTGAGGGCAGGGTTTCTTTTCTCTGATCTTGTTGGCTTAGGAATGATTAATGTGTTTCACCAAGCTGGAAATCCTAGCCTAGTGGAGCTGCCAAAACTGAAGACATTGAGCCTCTTCAAAGCTAAATAGTCCAGTTTTCAGTTGTGGATGCTGTGTTTGTTTTGAAGTCTCGCTGTAGTGTTAATTGTACTCAAAATGGGCCTCCACTATAGACAGAAAGTTTGATGTGCAGCAGGATTCTCTCTGGCTTGTTTCTAAATTGCAAGTGTAGTAGGCTTCAGTCATCTTCAATTTTTGTGTGTTCTTTACCAGTAACATGCAGAAGCTGGGAGTAAACCCATGTCTGTTTTTCTCAGAGCACCCACTAGAGATTTTGGAGGATTTGCTGAGGCAGTTCTGCTCCCATGAGTAGTGACTGCTTCCAGTTCTCCTTTAGGATAGCATTTTCTGCCTCTGCTGGTTGCTCCCCAGAGGTGTACAGCTCGTTCTGTAATTCTGTTACTTCTTTGCAGGATCTGTTCCCGATATAATTCTTTATTTTTCTGTCTTGATTTTCATTTGTTAGTGTTTGCACCCATTGTTCTTTTACAGAGTCGTGTCAAACTAAAAACATCCATATTTCATGGTTTTGCAAAATATTTTTCAGCTACATTTTTGAATTTTCCATTTGCTTGTGGACAGTTTTGTTTTTTTTACTTCCTAATATCTCATGGGCAAGAATTCTTATAAGAATTTATAGTAAGCAACTTCTGTCTGTTGTGTCCTCTAGAACTAAGACAAAGATTTTAGATTTGCTGTTTTTTGTTGTTTTTTTTTTAAAGGCTTATAATGTAATGTCTGTAACAAGGCTTTTAAAATAATTCTGTGTTCCCAATACAAAATACAAGGCTGAATTACTTGTTAAGCATCCCGTACTGCAAATCCATAAGCCAGCAACTGAGTCTGTTAGAACTAGAATACCATATTGTACCACTTCAGTTTTTTCTAACTGTTGTAAACATGCAGGGAATTGTGAAGAGAGATGAAGTCGTGTTCAAGGCTGCCAGAAGCCGTGGAATCCCAATTTTGATGGTGACATCTGGAGGCTACCAGAAGAGGACTGCCCGCATTATTGCTGATTCTATCCTCAACTTGCACAACCTGGGGCTTATTGACAAGGACCTAGCAACCAGTGGAGCTGAAAATCCTAAGGTAGAACAGATGATTAGGGACTCTGTAACAGACTTAACCAATTTATCACTGCAGTGATGGTTAATAAGTTTTTTTTTCCTTAAATTTGGCGTTTTAGGAGCAGGAAGTTTCCAAGGTTAATATAAGAAATTCACAAAGGACTGAGCTTGCCTGTAAAATAACCTAGTATGGACAGCACACAGTTGCAGATTAGCTGTGTTTAACTACTGAAGCTGTCCAGAGCAAAGGCAACAAATCCTTCTGTGCTAATTTACATTATTATAATGTAATGAATAATGTACATCAAGAGTACCTTGTTTCAGTTTATAATCTTACTGTAGAAAGCTTTAATTGCTTCCTATTGTTATGGATTGTCCACTGTGTTCAAAGAACTGTGTGGTTGGACTTTCCCAGGCCCGTTTGGTGGTATGGTTCAGACAGTGGCTGGAGTAATCTGCACTAAACTTATTGGTATTATTCTTAGATAATGCATTGTATTTACTGCTTTTTTAAAGGTTGTTATAGCAGTTCTGTGCAGTCTTCTACTGTCAATTTAACACTCAAGTGCAATAATATGGAGAACAGTTCAGTTGCTTGGCTTTTAAGCCATAGCCTATTAGAATGAACATTTGTTAATGTATATTTTATTCCTGTTTACTACAGTGACATAGATTCTGCTTTTAAGTACACTGAAAATAGAATATGAAATGTCTTTGGCTTTGTATGCAGATGGGCAGTAAGGGATCAGCAATAAGTGTAATTTTTGCCTCTTGAAATGAGGCCTGCATTTAAAGGCAGTAGTTACTATGCATTGTAGTTTGTTTACTCTGACTTACTAGAAAATAAAACCTAGTTGTAGTGTTCTGAGAACTGTTGCAGAAAATGTCACGTAGAAATATGAAATACTTATTATCACCTACTTGTCATATATAAGCCTTGAAGAGTAAATTTCAATTTTTTTCCAGCTAGTACCGTTTTTCACTTGCTTGAAGATTACTGATAGTCATAGCTACAGTCATAGTTGGTAACCAAATTGTTTGTATTTAGAAATAAAATACTGTGAAACTTCTACAGTAAGCTAATGTAATAACCTTATATGGGAGGTTCTAGGAGGTACTATGATAGGAGAACAAAATAGTGCATTCAGATGCAAATTATTGGTGATTGACTGTAATGTTTGTTTTTGTTGGTACATTATGTATTAATTACTGCTTGTAGCATTGGATCTTAAATGTACTAAATTCTGTATTTGGCAAGAGCTTTCTTAACTTCCAGGTATTCACTGGTCTTCTGTTCAGGTTTGAGCCTTTCTGTGAAGGGACTCTGATGTTTTCCATGTAGTAGAATTGGTGTGTAAGCTATTTAAGGAATGTTTCATTCTGATTAGAATACTTACCTCAGTAATGTCATTTTTAAATGTATGATGTTTATTAATGGTTGGAATTTGCACAATTGCTATAAATAGCTGCTTTAAACCAGATTTGGCATATTGCACTAATCTTGATTTGCACCATTGTTAAAAGACACTTTTAAACTTCTTATGATAGGTGGTCAGAGTACAACTAATGTGGAGATTTATTTTTTTTCTACACTGTCTGTGTTACTGAAAGATGTTGGTATTCTTTCATATAATTTTTATAAAATTATAAATGAAATTTCTATGAACTAAAGTGCTGTAATAGTGCATATTCTGTTTGTGTTAACTTGTTTGTTTTACTTTAACTCAGTAAAGATTAAAATAATGTTGAATAATGCTGGCGACTTTGCTTTTCACTTATTTTGTCTGTGAATATTTTGGATGAAACACTTCATTAAAAAAGGTGCTTTTTTTGGCAGTTAAAAGGTAGCTGAAACTGCAGCATATCTCAAGGATGAGCAGTACAGTGTTTGTCAACAGTGGAGGACTTCTCTGGCGATTACCATGTTGGCCTCTCAAGTGAAGTTGGAGTTATGTCTGTAAATATTAAAGGAATCATAAGGTCATCATAAGGTGTTAAGGTTGCTTTCTAATTCCATATTGCGTTCTAGACGTGACAAAACTTTTAAGTTGAATTTAAACTTAGTGCATTATGATTCATATCAAATCTTGTTACCAGTGGACAAGGTGCACCAAACACTGTCATGGACACATCTGCAGGTACCTGCAACCATCAGAACTGGCTGCTGGAAAGCTGAATAGTAGCAGATGATGATGGGAAAAGAGGTGGGACTTCTTTTCATTTGGAGTTTTCTTTTTGTTTTTGCTTCCTTTTTTTGAGTTGCATTTTTGATTATAAATCTTCCCATAATAGGAAGGAATGTTTCACCACTGCTGCCTTAACGTGTAACAAAATACATCTCCTGAAGAAAGGCTGGTTGGTCATCTTTCCTAATGAGATATCAGTTTTCACTCAAATTCTTTAATTAAGAATAGATGCGTCCAAAAGCTTATAGTACAAAAGACTTTTTTTCAATCAGCCACATGTGAAATGTGTTGAAAAACCTGAGGAGTTGATGCTGTTGTCTCTGATCTAACAGTTGGCCTGGTGAGTTTGACCCCTGTCTCCTCACCTCTGTGTTTTACAGTCTACATACAGTGTAGAAGTTGGTGTTAAAAGCACTGTGCATTGTGTTAATAGTCTCACAATGACTGCATTTTAGATATAGATGGTAATATCAATCTCTTTCAACTTGAATGTGATTTTTTTTGTTTGGACTTCTGATTTTTTTTTTTTTTTTTAACCCCTTGGATTCTGAAGTCCCAGACTTCTGTCATAAATACAAGGAAGAATTTGAGAAATGCTGTTGTCAGCTATAATAATGCTGTGGATTGGTAGTCAGTTTATTGTGTGCAGGGCAGGGACATTCTACAATGAATAATAGCTGTTTGGACACACAGATTCCCTACCCCTTGCAGCTTGAAGAACCTGATGGTTCTGAAATCTGACCTTTCCTTGCTGCTGCACACCAGTATCTCAGCCCTCTCTTACGCATACAATTCTTTTGAGTGCTGTCTGCATACTTTTCTGGTGGGCTGTGAAGTGACTCATTTCTTGTACTTCACAAATTATGCTACATAATTGTGTCCTACAGCATAGTCACTTTGGGGAGAATGCTCTGACAAATCCAGATGTTAATAAGTTGATAATCTTGGAAATGGTCTTTGCTCATACTGTTCTGCCAAAAGCTAGAGCTGGCGGACTTCAGGGAGCTGCAGCTCTATGATCTTGGTGCTGTGTACTCTGCTAGCTGCTGAACAATTGGAAACATTCTGTGTTCCAGAAAACTGCATCTCCTTGCAAAAGAAGGAAGTTCATTTATTATCTCTAGTCAATGGGAAATGATCTTATAATCCCTGGTTGATTCTGAAATTCAGAGCATGTCAGAAACAGAAATAGAGGGCCTAATCCCAAGTGGTTCTGTATCTTGAATTTACCTTGAATTTAGACTGTCTGTGTATTCCCCAACTAGAGGCAGGCCCAAAGTTGTTTGATAGGTACTCGTGTTTATCTTGAGTTTTAAATAGGTGTTATTTCCAGGCTTCTAGTTTTAATTTGACCCTGATATTTTTTTTAATTTCTTGGATTTCCCATCCAGTGCTCATCTACTTTTTTTGCTTTCTGTTATACTTTGTGTTGACAACTTTGCTAATTATTTTTTTTCTTACTTCAAAGAGGAACAGAATTAATTCCTTCCACAAAGAGATAACATTTTGGTCTTATTACAGTGTTGGATTCTCTCCTATGCTTACTGCAGCAGTGAAAAGAGGAGACTGGTTCTGTTCAGTTCCCAAATCAGTGCAATATGGTACCCACCTTTAGATGATGCTTAGGAAAAAGTAAACTGCTGCCTTACTTTACTGCTGCATCTCAAATGTGCAAAAATGCTATGTCGTGCGTATTTGAGTGGCTCTGAATTCAAAATGGGCTGGTAAGACAAATTAACTGAACTGATAAGATCGAATAGGAGGTCACTGTGGTGGGGCTGTGGCTCTGGCTTACTTGCTCACTGCAGTTCTGACCTTTCTCCCAACATCTGAGACCAAACTTGTGGCTGGGGATGGAGTCAATGCAAAATTTTTGAGGAAAGTGTCAGTGCTGTAAAGCACACCTTGTTTTAGCAGTCCTGTGGTATTGTGTTGGACCAGGGCGATGGGCTGTGGCACGTATTTCCTTCCCTTTTCCTCCCTTCAGAACTAATGTTGCAGGTAATTAAACTATGTTGTCAAATATAGAGCTAGTTATGCATCTCATTAATCAGATCCAGACTTCTGTGTTTTGCAGTTGAATGTAACTTCCTTTGAGCTTGGCTGGAACAGAGACTGGAACAGATTATCTTTATTTTGGAAATCCATGTCTGAGTTATATAAAAATGAGGGAAATAAATCTGAGGCCAGCATAGAAGGATGCTTCTTATCTATGCAGTGTCTTCAAGTTAGTCCTTAGAAGAGTTGTAACAGATGCAGTGCTTTGTAAGAGAGAAAAGACGTCTCCTTTCTTTCAGTTTTGACATCGTAAGAAAAATTACAATTAATCCTGCTAGCCAAATGTAGCTTGTCATTTGTCTGTGCTTTTGCGCTTGTATTTACTTAAGTACAGAAGAGAGTAAAAAGGATTTAGGATAATTGAAGAGAGGAGACAAGGAAACTGAAAATTTCTTGAGTAAAAAATTGCAGTGTGCTTTCTTTACATAGGATGTGACATTGAGAGCTGCTTTTTGTATGAATTGGGTACAATTTTTTTTTTTGTTATCAGATATCAGCATATTTTATTTTACTTTTTTTATGTCTTGCAGAGCTTCTGTTTTCATTCTTTACTAATCTTTCCTGAGACTACCACCCAAAATTGTAACCAAGAACATTTAACTATTTTACAGAGGTAAACATGAAGGCTAAGTGGAGTTTGAGCTTAATTGTCTTGTTTCTTAGTTACAGCAGCTGCTGGTCACTTACTGTATGGATTCTCAGCAGTGGATGTATACAGATACCCTGCATGTGTGCCTGAGTAAGTGGCATGGATGCACAGCAACTTCTGTTGATAACGCTTTCTGTTTTGGGTTAAGTAGCTTGGTAGAGAATGAGATGTTTGCTTCTCGAATAGAAATCATTCATAATAGCTTGTTCAGCAATTGAAAGAAGATTCCATTTTAACTTGATTCCTTTGAAAAGCAAAACAAATTGACAAATATCAGAAGTAAATGGAGATGTTCTTATGGTACTTCCAGAAGCTAGTGTGTCTTGATGGTTCTCAATTTCAAGGACTTGGAGTACCGCTGTAGATTAGATGAGTTAGT